CAATTTTTATGTCTTATCACATTTTATTTGTTTTTATTACATTTTACTCATCGATTTGGTATTTTTCACTATTTCTAGGTTCAGGTAAACAATAAAGGAGAAGCAGAGCAAAAAAACAGGGAAAAGGGCAAGAATTCGGAATAGTTTTGAGGAGGACTAGGAGCCTGACACGGCCGCCAGTGTCCTATGACACGGACCGTGTCAGGAAGGACTCAGAAAGACAAGAAGTTGAATAGCCAAACCCAAGAACCAGCAGCCTGAAACGGTGCCCGTGTCAGGGTCCCTGAAGATGAAGATTGTCATCCATGAGTCAGCAGCCTGACACGGGTGCCCGTGTCCCATGACACGGCCCGTGTCAGGGCTACTGAAAGTAAAATGTTTTTATTGTGTGTTTATGCTGACTGTGCTATCTTGGAGGGTAGTTTAGGCATCTCGCATTGTAATTTGAATTCTGGTATATTAGACGCATCGTGAATTGAGAAAGTGACTTTTGGACGAAAAAGAATTTCACGAAGAAGATTGGAGCGATCAAGGATTTGGGAAACTGAAGGTCCTCATGAGCGGAAGCGATTGAAGATCAAGGCAACCAATTATCTTGTAATGTTCAGTCTACTTATTGATGGTATTTTTATTATTATTAGTAGCTAAACCCCCCAATGCTAGGGGGTTTCCCTGAATTGACTCTGCAATGACCTTGTTTTCCTTGAATTAATCGTTTCACTGCTTTCTAATCATCGTTGTTATCGTATAATGTTTTAATGCTTTTCTTATCTGACAAATAAGGATTTGATTTACGGTTAACCTTAAGGTTGGAAAAACGTTTATTAACGCGTTTATATGATAATACTATAGTAGATATTGCCTAGGAATGGGAATACCCTATAGTAACCGTAATGTTTTAGATAAAATATATTGCTTGGTATTGTTCCTATACCGCCAAGGAATTGGGGCATAGGGAGAATACCAAAGGGTTTTCTGCTATGGGATTAAAGTTAACTAATCTTTAAAACCGGTCACGATTGAATTGAGCAGTGATTTCTGAAAACTAAGGATTAAGGTTATTACAAGGTTTTTCATACACCCTACCCTAGCATGCTTCTCATAATTGTCTAAAACCTTTATTTTACTGCTTTTGCCTTCTGGCCTTTACATTTTGCAAACAACAAACCAAAACCTCTTTGACTTTTTGTTCAATTGTATTATTATAAAACTTGTATTCATACGCAGTCCGCGAGATCGATATTTAGGGAATTTCCCCTTATTACTACATCGATAAAAATAGTACACTTGTTATTTTACCGGTCAACCATTTTCCATTATTCTTTTTAACGAGTACAACATTGGACAGCCAAGTGGTGTACTTGGCCTGCGATATAAAGTTTGCCTCTAAAAGATCTTTTACAGCCTGCTCGGCAGCCACCGTTTTCTCCGGGGACTGTCGTCGTCTACGTTGGGCAACTGTTCTGACGATGGTGTCGATGGTGAGATGGTGATAGGCCACATCGGGATCCGGTCTAGGCATCTCTGCGGCACTCCACGTAAACAGGTTTGCATTCTCCTGGAGGCATTCTCTCAGTTGTTTCCTCGCTAGCTCGGGGAGACTGGCTCCAATCTTTACTCCTCGCTTGGGGTCGTCGCCTAGTGGGACAAGCTCGAATTCTTCATCAGGGATGGGGAAAATTGGATGGGCGTCTTTGCTTCTACTGGAGGGAATCCTCGAAGATGAATGAATCTCTTTCCCCTTTGCCCTCTGAGTGTTCCAGTCGTCTTCAGAGAAGCGGTTGTCAAGGTCGATGGAATCAACGCGAGGAAGCGGATTTGCCTCGTCATAGCTGTTGGGAAGAAGAGACTGGGCATGAATCTTTGGTCTGGCTGCAATTGCATTCAGTCCCTTGGATACTTCTTCAAAGCATCTCCTTGCGGCTTCTATGTCCCCGTGTAGAGTTGTGACGAGGCCTTTGGATGTTTAATATTTCATCTTCAGGTGTACCATTGAAGGGATGATCACCAGCTCGACCAGAGTTGGTCTCCCAAAGATGCACTGGTATAACGACAGATAGTCTATCACCAGGAATTGTACCTTGATTGATTTGTCCGTTTCAGTAGATCCGAAGGTTATGATCAGCTCAATGTAACCCCAGGGCTTCGTCACCAATCCCTTAAAACTCTGTAGGTCACATCCCACATAAGGAGTCAAATGTGATTCATCCAGTTGGAGTGTGGAGAACAGCTGAAAGTACATAATGTCTACGGAGCTGCCTTGATCAACGAGGATTCGTCGAACATCAAGGCAGCTCCGGACCCTGTCGAGGGTGAAGTTCCGGTTTGAGGTGTTGCTGATGAGGTGCTTAAATTTCCTCTTGACGGATCCCACCGTAACTCTATTAAAACCTCCTCTAGAGATGACCACGGTGGAGGGGAATGTCTCCCACAGGCTGTGCGCAAAAAAATATGGAGGGGTGTTGAGACCATCGGGAATGCAGAAACCTTCAAGCCGTGAGACACTCATGGAGACCTAGAGGTTGGCTTCCTCGAAGGAGGGTACTTCTTCTTAGACCTTCTGGGCCACTTGGGCTTCTGGTCGAGGAGCTTCCTTTCGCTTGGCGAACTGCTTCAGATGTCTTTCCCTGGTGAGTATTTCAATGGCATCCTTCAGATGGATGCAGTCTTCCGTCGTATGGCCATGGCTCTTGTGGAACCAGTAGTATTTAGACTTATTAGTGTTGGGTTTGAACGATATCTTCTTTGGGAACCGGACTCCTGCCTGTCAAAATTCTGAGTTGGCACACTTAGTGAGGATCTTCTCTCTCAAAACTGTCAGGGGAGTGTACTTGTGGAACCTGTCGGAGGGTCCCTTGTTGTCCCGAGGTTCGTGGGAACGATCTTCATGTTTTTTATCTCCTCGACGGGATATCGAGGGCTCGTCGGATCTGGAAGGACGGGCGTTTTCCCTATGACTAGAATCAAGGACAGAGCTAACAGCCTCTTTTTCCTCGTACTGAATGTACGCTTGAGCCTTGAGGAGGAAAGCATCCAGCGTTGTTGGGGACCGGATGCCAACAGCTTTGGCAGATTCTGTGCGGGGACGGAGCCCGTGTTCGAGTAGAAACCTTTTCATATCATTGGTGGTAGAGACTTGGACGACCTCCTTGTTGAATCTTTTAATGTAGGCCAGCAGGGGTTCGTCTCTCCCCTGAATGATGGCCTCGAGGGACGCCTTGGTCTTCCGATGTTGGCGAGAGGCCGTGAAATGTCTGGAGAAGAGTCTCCCTAGTTGTCTCCATTACGTGATGGAGTCGTTAGGGAGTCCTTTGTACCAGGTCATTACCCCCTTTCTGAGCGTGGTCGAGAATAACCTGCACTTGATAGTGCCCTGGACACTGCAATAGTCGAGCAGCGCATCGATGTTTTTGATGTGCTCATCGAGTCACTTGTTTCATCGTACGTGCCCAGAGAGAGAGGTTTCTCTAGTCCTTTTGGGAGGCGCATGGCCATGATCTCCTGGGACAACGGGCCGCGAGGCTCGTCGTCGTTGCTGCTGGTCCAAGACAGGGAGCGGTCGTCACGTCTATAGGTAGGACGGTGGTCTTGTCAGGGAGACAGGGTCTGTGCTTGGCCCTTGGATCTGGGCGGAGACGAACGTTAGGATTCCATATGATGGCCTCTTCTGGTCCTCTTGGGTTGAGCAGAATACTAGTTCCAGGGAGAAATCTAGTCGTGTTTACGGATGGTCAGGGTCTCTAGCTCTAGAGGTGTTTGACGGCTCCTCTCGCGTCGGGGAGGGAGACTCCGTCGTTGTTGACGTTCCTTCCTCGACGGAGGGGATCTTGGACGACAAGACTCTTCTAGTGCTCCAATCCTCGCGTTCTGGTTGAGGATTATGAGGTTGGTTTTATTGAGAACTTCGAGGAGGGCCGCCATGGCCGAGTCGGTGTTGGGCGGAACTAGAACTGGCAGGTGTTGTGGGACAAGTGGGGCTTCACCATGATCTGTACGAATAGGGGATGGAAAAGATGTGGCTTCGTCTCTTTGTCGGAGGATGTCGCCGCCATGAGAGGTGGTGGCTCCATTAGCATCAGTCTTACTGGCAAGGAGAAAAGTAGAGTTACGAGCATCAAGATTGTTGTCACGGGCAACCATGATCAGAAATTTGAAGAATTATTTTGGTCTTGTGTTCTATGAAGAGAGAAAAGACAGGGATAACAAGTTTCCCACAAACGGCGTCACTGATCTTACCAAATGATCAAAACCTGAGATGGGCCAAAGACAAACGTCTGTGATGCTAGGTGTGAAAGAGGAGGAGGGAGTGTACATGTAAAACACTTCGATGCTAAAGTAAGAAAACGAGCAAGAGAGCGAGCAAGTACATAATATGTGTGTTTCAGGGTGAAAAATTGGATACTGACCCTCTCAAATGATAGGGTTTTTATAATGCCCCCAACGCTTGGTCATTGGTCCCTATTTTCTAGGAGAGATAACCATTTCTCAAAGAATAGGTAGCTTCCAGAAATAGCCGTTGGTACGAGCAAACAACCTATAATTAGCCATTGGCGTGGGCAGGGGCGTAGTTATGAGAACAAGCGTCTTGGCTATATCTGGATGGTGGAACCGTGTGTGACGGGCAGAGACTGACAGGAAGAAGTGTTGTGACCAACGGTAAATAAGTCAGTCTCCCCTGTTAGAGGGGCAAAAAGGTAAACTTTCCACCAAAGAGGTTGGACTTAAGCAATTGAGTCATTCTGGGAGCAGAAGTGGGTTGGGCCATGCTAGCCATTGGGTCAGTCCGGAATATAATCCTTGATCTGTGTCCCTTTTATAAACCCTATTTTCTCATTAGAAATTATGAAAGACAAGATATGATTTAGTTTGTCAACAATTATTTTCAAAATGATCTTGTATTTAAAATTTGCCAAAGTAGTGGACCTATAATGATTGGCATTATCTGCATTAGAGGTTGATGGAATAAGGGCCATAATATTAGCATTGTAATTGGGAAGTATCTAGTTAGAGATAAAGAATTGAAGAATGACACCAATCACACCATCTTTGATAGTATCCCAATAAGTTTGGAAGAAAAAAGCACTAAAATCATCAGGCCTAGAGGAATCATCCTTGTTAAGAGACAAAATTGCATTAGTTATCTCAGAGGCAGAAGAAGTCATAATGAGCAGGTTGTTAGTGGCATTAGAAATCAAACTAGGAATGGTTTGATCAATAAGATCATTACTGGTCACATTATTACAAAATCTAAAGATACTGGTGAAATGATTCACAAGAATGTTGTCAATCTCAAGAGGATTGATGATCAAAGAGTTCTCATGTCCAATGAATGTGATGAGTTTGGAGGAATTCTCGATGTTGGAAGTTCTATAGAAATAGGTCATATTCCTATGCCCTAATATATTCCACTTGACCCTGGACTCCTTTTGCCAAAAAAATTCTTCCATGTTCAAAGGCTCTGGTTGTCTATTGAGAACGGTCGTGGTTTTTTCTCCAGTTTTGAAGTTTCCACATTATATTTTTGTGTTGTAATTGTGTTCCTTTTTTTTCTCCATGCTTTGTTTTTTTTTTAATAACTGGTATTAGATCTTTTGGTTCGATTTAGGGATAAATGTTCTCTCAGTATGCTCTGCGGTTGAAGTTTTATCTGATATTCCACATCATAAAATAAGGGTAGTGTTGTGAAAGAGTTGTAGAGTTGCAGCCACAAATTCCGCTATGTAGTTTGGACTAGAGAAAATTGATGGAAGAATTTTTTTGACTTGTGAAAAGTTCAAGTTAAATATGTGTTAAGACAATCAAGACTACACAAGGTGCAAGATTATGTCGGTGGTTTAAGAGCTTCTTGCCAACAAGGAAGTTGCACCATAAGTTTTCAACTTTGTTTTTGACATGTAAAATTTTTGAAGTGGTTAACCTTCAAGTGAATATATTCTTCATGATAAAGTATATGATTGTTAGTGATGACAATGTGAAATTCTTGAATTGGTTTATCTTCATGTAAAATATATTCTTCATGAGATAGTATGATAGTTTTAAAAACTATGATTGTTAGTGAAGAGAATATGAAAATTCTTGGAGTGGTGCAGCTTCAAGTGACTATACTTTTTATGTTGTAATATGATTGTTGGTGAAGACAATGAAAATTGATGTATTATTTTCAATCAATATGGGGATTATTGAGATTGGTTAAAAATATACATGTTAATACTCTTTATGGTGGAGTATAATTGTCAATGAAGATAATAAAAACTTCTTTATTATTTTCAATCAAGGTGGAGATTGTTGGTGTTAGTTGAAAATATACACGTTAAAAAAGTCTTTATATACATCGTATAGTTTTGTAAATGAAGAGAGAATCCAATACTATATATATAAGATACAAGTTCTTTGAAGTCCTACATCGCTTAGTTTTGTGAAGAAAGAGAGAGTCCAAGACTATATATAGGATTCCAGTTCTTCATTCCAAAATGCATTAGTCAAAAACACTTTACACTTGTATTGACTTTCTTTGTTCTCTTATACTCTGGTATTAGAGTGTTGTAAGATATCGTTAAATATTTATTTTGGAGGGTGTGGGTGTACTTGGGTCCTGTAGTTAGTTGATGGTATATTATGAATTGTAAATTTTTTTTTTTGATTGCCTATTGACAACATCCATGATTTTTTCTTCCAATTTTAAAATTTTCACGTTATAGTTGTGTTATGATTGTGTTTTTTTTTCTTTATGATTTTTTTTCCAACATGAACTTGTTTTTGCTCCCAAACTATAGAGAGGTTCTTCCATAATTGTCATGCATATAGACCAAATTTAAAACCTCCATCATCAAACAAAAGAGAGATATGTTGGTCATCATTACCAATGACCACAGGATTAAGGTGTGTTGCACAAAAACACAAGTTAGGCAAAACATGCTCCCTAATATTAACCACAAATAATTTCATCTTAAGCCTAACCAACCACTTTCTAAGGAAAAGAGCAAAGCAATGATCAACAACAAAACCAAAGTCAGGTCTGTTGGAAGTAGTAAAATTCTTTAAGGCTAATTTTGTAATAGAGTTAGCAAGATTAAATTTACATCAGAGATTTAAATATATTTTAAATTTCATTGACAAATTAAATTAAATCATATAAAATAAATTATACAATTTAAAAGTGACCATGTATTATTTAACTTATATTCAAATTTAAATCTCTCAAATCTTTGAGGGATTAATTTCTCGACAAACCTAACTTTTACTCAAAATCTCAGAAGTAAATTATCCTAACAAAAACTCTTTAATTACATTTCAATCATTTACTTAATCATCTAGGTATAATTATTGACATGATATGTTATATGATTAAAAGATAGGGTTCTTCTAAAAGATAAATATGATTTGTGTATAGTACAATACAACAACTACTTTATGTGGGTCCTTATACTCAAACCACTGCAGAGACATGAAAATATACATCAAAGTATACTATAATATATATATATATATATATATATATATATATATATATATTATAATCTTTTTTTTTTAGACCATTATATTGCTTGTTTTTCAGTGTCATTCTTGATTTATCATTCTCACTGAATAATTCTCCATAGTTTCAAATGGAACCTTTCTTTCTTTCCTCTCTCTCATTCATCTTCCTACTTGTCTTCACTTTTTCTTCTGCTCAGATGCCAGGTACCTACTACTACTACTACTCTCTTCTTCTTTTTCTTCTACACCTTTTTTTGTTCTCTTGCATTGGTTCTTGTTAATATTGCTCCTTCTTTTCCATGTTCTAGCCTATTATAACTTTACCAATTCCTTTGTTTTCATTTCCAAAGATTCAATCTTTCTGTAATTTACCATCAACATGTTACATATCTATACATTATGGAATTTGAGGTGGATCTTTATATGATTAGTATATCATTGTTCTTCAATTCACTTTTAAATTGATCCATGTAGCCGACCCCTCTTTCTGGAATAAGGCTTGGTTGTTGTTTTTGTTATCTATGCTTTTAATTTGTGATGGTGATCTTTGCCTTGTTGAACAGGTTTTGTGAGTTTGGACTGTGGAGGTGATAAAAATTTCACTGATGAAATTGGTCTTCAATGGAGTCCTGATGATGGAATTGCTTACGGAGAAATAAGCGCGATTTCGGTTGCGAATGAGACACGGAAGCAATACACGACTCTTCGAAACTTTCCTGCTGATTCGAGAAAATACTGCTACACACTTGATGTTGTTAGCAGGACAAGGTATCTACTGAGGGCAACATTCTTGTATGGAAACTTTGATAACAACAATGTTTATCCGAAATTTGATATTTCGATTGGGGCTACTCAATGGTCTACTATTGTTATATCGGATGCGAATACGATAGAAGTTAGGGAAATTATATTTTTGGCTTCAAGTCCTACTGTTAGTGTCTGTCTATCGAATGCAACAACGGGGCAACCGTTCATATCTACGCTTGAACTTAGACAATTCAATGGTTCGATTTATTTTTCGTTCTACGAGGAACATTTCTACCTCAGTGTCTCTGCAAGGATAAATTTCGGCGCAGAGAGTGACGAGGAAATCAGGTATTAAGGGAGGACGTGTTTTCTGCGTAGTTATAGTTATTGTTTTGGTTTTGAAGTGGTTTAAGTGTAAGTTTCTTTCTGCTATATCAGGTATCCCGATGACCCGTTTGATAGAATTTGGGAGTCAGATTCTGTCAAGAAAGCAAATTACCTCGTCGATGTTGCTGATGGAACTGAGAAAATTTCCACCAATGTATCCATTGATGTCAACAGAGATGAAATGCCACCGTTGAAAGTAATGCAGACAGCGGTAGTAGGTACGAATGGATCTCTAACGTACCGGTTGAACTTGGATGGTTTTCCTGCTATTGGACGAGCGTACAGCTATCTTGCAGAGATAGAAGATTTTCCTAAAAATGAATCAAGAAAATTCAGGCTAGTACTTCCAGGCCAGGCGGATATTAGTAAAGCCGTGGTAAATATCGAAGAGAATGCGCTAGGAAAGTATCGTGTTTATGAACCTGGGTTTACCAATATATCGCTACCGTTTGTAATGTCGTTTAAGTTAGGAAAAACAGCTGATTCTTCTAGAGGTCCTCTTCTAAATGCCATGGAGATTAATAAGTATCTAGAGAAAAACGATGGCTCCCCCGATGGTAAGTCTCCGCCTCATGATATGTCTATTGCAGTACAAAGAGTTTTCTGTTACATTTTTTTTCGGAAGCATCGTGATTCATGTATGTAGTTTACTTGGATTGGGTGGCTTGCAGGAGAAGCTATATCTAGTGTGCTTTCTCAGTACTCTTCAAAAGATTGGGCAAACGAAGGGGGTGATCCGTGTTTACCTGTCCCGTGGTCGTGGATCCTATGTAGCTCAGATAAACAGCCGAGAATAGTTTCGATTTTGTTGTCTGGGAAAAACTTGACGGGCGATATTCCTTTGGACATCACTAAATTGACTGGTCTGGTTGAACTGTAAGTTTTGTATTACTTTCTTATTCGACTTCAGTGAACTTCTGATGTCTCGAGTTTTGTATATTAAGCTTGTGTCGTGGATGCAGATGGCTTGATGGAAATATGCTGACAGGCCCGGTACCAGATTTCACCGGATGCACGGACTTAAAGATCATGTAAATTCGTTATTGCACTTAAGTTCATCCTCATGATTCATTTTTTTATCTTTAAATTAACTAGAAGCACTTTTTTCTTTTACAGTCATCTTGAGAACAATCACTTGGCAGGTGTGCTGTCAGCCTCTTTGGGGAACCTTCCGAATTTGAGGGAACTGTAAGCTATCTCTCACTTATGAATGCAGCAATAGCGTGCGTGCGTGCACTCTCGTAATCATGTTTAAATAATAGTCAACTTACCATGTTAAATCTTCATTTGTTTTTGTGCTTATAACTGTTGCAGGTACGTTCAGAACAACATGTTATCCGGAACTGTACCGTCTGAACTTTTGAGCAAAAATTTGGTTTTAAAGTGAGTATTGTTCTTCCTCGAAATACTATTGCTTCAAATGGATTGATACATTTCTTCTAAGTTCGCGATATTTACATATCAACAACTACTTTTTGTTCTGTCCTCAACAGCTACTCTGGAAACAATGATCTTCACAAAGGAAGTAGAAAAAAAGACCAATTGTATGTGATTATTGGTTCCGCATCCGGAGCCGCCATTTTACTTTTAGCTACTATTATATCTTGCTTGTTTATGCATAAAGGAAAGAAAAAATATTATGGTCAAGGTAAGGTTCTAAATCAAAATTAGATATAATTTTGTTTTGAGTTCGAGATGGTAGTACAAGTACATGATATTCTTGTTTGCACCCTTCGCAGACCACCTTATTTCACTCTCTACGCAAAACATCGAATCTAAAAGTGATGGTCATGCAGAAGTTGCTCACTGCTTCAGTTTTTCTGAAATTAAAAACTATACGAATAATTTCGAGAAAAAAATAGGTTCCGGAGGTTTTGGAGTTGTTTACTATGGGAAACAAGCAAATGGAAAAGAGATAGCAGTTAAAGTTTTAACTAGTAATACCTATCAAGGCAAAAAAGAATTCTCTAATGAGGTAGGTGCATTTTGTTAACCACTTTGCAGCGTTCGATCAATTTTCCGAGTTACATTTTTGTTTCAATCTTGTGATTCAGGTGAGTCTTTTGTCAAGAATACATCACAGAAACCTGGTGCAGCTTCTCGGTTATTGCCGAGAAGAAGGAAACAGTATGCTTATTTATGAATTCATGCATAACGGAACTCTCAAGGAACATCTTTATGGCCCGTTAACACGCGGGCGGAGTATCAATTGGATTCAGCGGCTTGAGATCGCCGAAGATTCTGCGAAAGGTTTATATCATTTAAGACTACTGTATTATTATTAACAATAATGACAACGTATTAACTGAATTATTGTTGCGTTTGTTTAGGGATTGAGTATCTTCACACAGGATGTGTGCCTGCAGTTATCCACAGAGACCTAAAAAGCAGCAACATTCTTCTAGATAGACACATGAGAGCTAAGGTTTCGGATTTTGGTCTTTCGAAACTCAATGTTGACGGAGTCTCCCATGTATCTAGCATAGTTCGGGGTACAGTGGGATATCTGGATCCCGAGTAAGGCCTTAACTCGATTTTGCTTGTTTCCTTAAGTTGATTAACTTACCAAAAATCACTTATCATTGTAACTTTTCTCTAACAGGTACTATATTTCTCAGCAGTTGACTGACAAGAGTGATATTTATAGTTTTGGAGTAATTCTTCTTGAGCTTATATCAGGTCATGAAGCAATATCTAATGACAGTTTTGGTGCTAATTGCAGAAACATAGTCCAATGGGTGAGCCTTAATTTCTCTATAATAATATTATTGTTGATATCTTTGTAGCACGGATACTTATGAAAAAAGATATGTCTGAAATAGATGTGTCAGTATCTAAATCGTGTTTCTGGTGTCAGATTTACTTAATCAAAATCAATTATGTGGCAGGCAAAGTTGCATATTGAGAGTGGTGATATACAAGGTATAATTGATCCAGCATTACGCAACGGCTATGATCTACAATCAATGTGGAAAATAGCCGAGAAAGCATTGATGTGTGTTCAACCTCATGGACACATGAGGCCATCGATTTCAGAAGTTGTGAAGGAAATTCAAGACGCAATTGCGATTGAAAGAGAGGTGGAGAGTGTTTCGGACGAGATGACGAGAAATTCTGTTCACTCTTCGATTAACATGGGTTCTATGGATCTTGCTGTGACGGAGAATTACCTTGCCATCGATGATTCCATTGCACGGCCTACTGCAAGATAGAGTAGAGAATAAAATAGAATGGTGTAACTGTAATGGAATGGCGCAATTTTGAATGTTTTCTCCCTCTCTTTCCTTCTTGTATATTTTTTATGAATTAAATATGTTTACTTTTTGTAAATTTTTAAAATTTTTAAAATTGCTTTTTTAGTTCCTACTAAATTGCAGAAACATCTTGCTTTTGCCTCAAACCACTTAAGAGGGAATGAGAATACAATGTTCTTCATAACGTCGTACACTCGTAGCAATATGGTGTTCCATAGCGTTTGTTCGTCACATTCATGATGTTATGGTTGCAATATGTCACCTTTTGACCTTTCTACCTCGTTTCTTCTTGATGATTGAGAACATTAGGGGTGAGACATTTGTCTCCATCGACATGCTTTTGAATAGAGGAGTCAAAAAGCAAAGCTCTAATATTTAGATCCTTTATTGGGCGCTTTTTTTAGTCTCCTAAAACATAAATATTTTTTTGATTTTTTTATTTTTAAATCCCTTCATAATTTTGCTTTTAGTTTCAAAATTTAATTAGTTTCAAACAAAATATTTTAGATTTTTAAATATACTTTTTTTTTAAAATTAAGTTTTTTCAAAAATAGAAAAGTCAATTTTTTCAAAAATAAAAAAGTTGACTTTTTCAAAGACAAAAAAGTCGAGTGTTTTACGAAAACAAGGCAATTTTTTTTTAAAAAAAAAGTCGACCTTTTCAAAAATAAAAAATTTGATTTTTTTTTTAAAAAATTGCCCAAAATAAAAAATCGGTTTTTTCAAAAATAAAAAAGATAGAGTTTTTTAAAAAATAAAATAATATATTTTTTTCGGATGTTAAAAAATAGTCGATTTTTTTCGAAAATGAAAAAAAATCGTTTTTATTCAAAGATTTAAAAAAAATTCTTTTTTTTTTTGTTGTAAATTGAAAAAAGTTTATTTTTTACGAAAATAAAATCAATATTTTCCAAAAAAATATCGATTTTTCTTAAAAAAAAATTAAACTTTTTAGAAAATAAAAAAAGTCGATTTTCTTTAAAAGTTCAAAATAGTAAATTTTTTTCAAAAATATAAAAAGTCATTTTTTATCGAAAATAAAAATAGTCGACTTTTTCAAAAGTAAAAAATAGTTGATTTTTTTGAAAAAAAAAATTGATTTTTTGACAAATAAAAAAAATTGAATTTTTCTAAATAAAAAGTCGACAAAAGTAATAAATAATCGATATTTTTCGTAAATAAAAACTACTTTTCTGTAAAAAAAAAATTGATTTTTCGACAAATAAAAAAAATAAAATTTTTCTTAAAAAAATCATTTTTTTCTAAAAAAACATCAATTTTTATTTTTAAAAAGTCCGTTTTTTCTAATAAAGATCGATTTTTTCTAAAGAAGTCAATTTTTTTAAAAGTTCAAAATAGTCGATTTTTTTTAAATAAAAAATTAATTTTTTCTAAAAAAAGTCGATTTTTTTCGAAAGTAAAAAAATCATATTTTTCCGACAAAATTTCATTTTTCGAAAAAAAAATTTTCTGATATTAAATAGTCGATTTTTCTAAAAATATAAAAGTTAATTTTTTTTGAAAATTAAAAATATTCGATTTTATTCGAAATTGAAAAAAACTGATTTTTTTCAAAAATTAAAAAAGTGATTTAAAAAAAAGTCATTTTAAAAATAAAAAATTAGTTTTTATTTTCAAAAGAGTCGATCTTTTTAAAATGTTGGGGCTAGAGATCTTTCTTAAATTTTAGGGGTCTTTGGTTTAGAGAGCCTACTTATTTTAGAAATTTTGTGTCCCCTAATTTTTAGGGTCTTAAAATTTATGTCCCAACCCCTTAATTTGACAGCTCTACTTTTGAGATGATGAGTTATTGTGCTTGGATCCATTACACTAGGAGTTGTGACTTTGATAGCTTGGATCACCTTGCAATGGTTTTGGTGGAGCTGAATTCTTTTCTTTTTAAACAGCTAAAAAGATATATCACAAAAATTAAAAACAACATAAGACATGTAGATAATGGGTCAGCATGTTTTGCCTTTTTTAAAAAATAATTTTTATAGTGTAATATAATTTTGTAAAAAATAAATAATTTACAATAGAATTTTTCATAAAAATTTTAAATGAAAATTTGGTTTGAATAATTATTCTTAAAATGTGATTTTAAATATATCAACATTTTATCGAAAAAAAATGTTGGATATCAAAATTTCAAAAAAAATCACTTAAATTTGAAACTATTTCAAATAGTTTTTCATAAAAATCATTTTTGAGATACAACTTTTTTTAAAAATTATGATTTTGACTATGTTTTGATATTCAATAATGTATGTTTATGTTGTATGATATCAATATTAGTCTTACAAAGTCTAAATCTTAGATGATCCGACCAAAAGATAATAGTAAAGCAAAATTGATAGGCAGAACATCCTAAAAACTCGAAGAATCCTAGCACACCACTTGATTAATCAGCAGCACCCAAACAAGTCTAGAATAACCATGATCCTCTCAATAATTGGACGAAAAGAACTACGACCACCAAATTTGATGAATCTATAATCGCTGCTTAGACTTGAACCAAACTGAAAGTTCATCTGATAAACCCCAAGCAGTGTCTTGGGATGCTCAACCACTGTTCGAGAGAGTAACTAAATCCTGACGCTTTGCTTCTCAACCATTTCCATGACAGAATTTTAACTTCTTCAACTAAATGCTCTGCTGATCTATCCTTTTCTCTAAATTTTGTTTCATTATGCCCTTTCCAAATTATCCTGATGCTAGCGTACCAAATAACACTGAATTTTTGTTGTCTTATTTCTGCTTGATCCAAACAGCCATTGAATTGCTGAAAATTTGATATCGGTGAATTATGCACTGCAATAAATATGCTTAACATTCGGAGGATCATATACCACACCTGCAAGTTTAAATCAAACTAGAAAAATATGAGAGTCGCTTTCTATTTCCCTAAAACCATATGAACATTCCAAATGAGAATCGTTCAACACTTCTCTCTTGTGTAAGTTATCCTTAGACGGTATTCTGTCTTGGAATAATCACAACACCATAACTCATACCTTTAAAGGGACGAGTTTGTTCCAAGCATCTGCTAGTTTCATCCTTTCAACGTTAATCAAATTCTCCATCATTAAGTTATAATCCTCTTTGGCAAAATATATTCCAGAGTCCCAAATCCATTTATCTACTCTCTCTGCATTAATGACTATCCTCTACAATTTTTCCTTCAGTTCCTTCTCTATCGTGGACTCTTCTTGAGATAAAACCCTATTCTGGTTGAAGTTCCATTGGTCTGTACCTATTTACATATCCTTTAGTCTTAAATTTTTGGCTTGACAGATTGTATACAAACTCGAGAATCTTTTTTTTAAGAGATAAGTCCTCACACAAAGAATCTAGCCACCCAAATGTGTCATTCCCATGTTTTGTTTTCGATACTTGGAATTCCTTCCACTATGTTGAATAATTTCTCCCTACTCCGCTGATCTTACCCTTTTCCTCACCATATTTACTTGATAATACCTTATACCATGTACTGTTGTTGTCTATAAGAAGATGCCATTTCCATTTGGCTAATACGCTAAGTTGAAAGCTTTTTAATTTTTTATCCCTAACCCTTCCTCTTTTCCGACAAACCCTATCTCCTTGGACCCAATTAATTTTCTTAGCTTCCTAACTCCCACCCTAAAGAATTTTTTTATATAAAGATTCATGTTTGAAAATGATACTTGACAGAGCTTTGAAGAAACAAAGGAAGTAAATGGGTATAGCATACATGACTGATTTAAGAAGGACAACACGACTGCCAATTGGTAGATGTTTGTTATTCCAACTGAACAATCTTCGTTTGACTGCATATATGATTGGTTTCCACATTCATTCTCTCCTAGGATTACTACCAATTGAAAGTCCCAAGTATTTCAATGGCGTGCTCCCGACTTTACAATTGAGTACCGAAGTTTCCTTCTTTAGCCATGTTAGTTGAATATTAACAGCAACTAAAAGTCTTTTATGGAAGTTTACCTTCAGACCCAATACCAATACAAATAATTAAATATTTGATTTAATTGGCCACACATTTTTTCAACTTTTTGATATACCTCCCTGACCAAATTGGTAACCTTCGAACTTATTTAACTGAATTGCTTTTGCCATCATTAAATTCAGACACTTTACCGCTATTAAAAAGAGAAATGGCCATAGGGGATCTCCTTGTCTAAGTCTTCTATTGACCCTTAACTTCTGAGTAGGACTCCTGTTTACCAAAACAGACATCTGGCTTGTGCGAAGACATTCAAAAATCCACTTCCACCATTTTACGTGAAATCCAATTTTATCCATGAGAAATCAAAGTATTGCCAATCCAACGGATCGTATACCTTTTTGAAGTCCACTTTGAACATCAAAGTTAATCTTTGTTTTCTCTTTGCATTATCAACTAGCTCATTCGCAATAAGTATGTTGTCCACCATCTGTCTACTTTCCATAAATGCAAATTATAAAGTTGAAATTATTTTTTGAATCACCCCTTTCAATCTATATACAAGAACTTTGGCCAACACCTTATACGTGCCCCCTATTAGAGATATCAGTCAAAATTCATCAAATATACCGAATTGTCTATCTTTGAAATAAGCACAATAAATGCATTATTGACGCTACGGACCAGCCTACCATTGCAATGAAATTTTGTAGTAAATCGTAAAAGGTCCTCTTTGACAACTCCCAACATTCCTTGATGAATCCAAAATTAATTATGTTCAGCCCTGGGCTTTTCGAACACTCGAAGTCCCAGACTGCTATTTTAATCTCTTCTTCCGGAAGTTCAGCAGCCAGACATAGATTATCAAGCTCCCAATTCAACTAAAATTAAATGATTGGAGCACGAATCTCTGAATGTTCCTGGATTCAAACAAAACACTAAAATATTTATAAGCCTCATATTTTATCTCTTTCACTCCTTCTAACTTTTCACAGTTAACCTCAATGTATGCTATTTCATT